GTAGATAATTGGAAATAGAGTCTCATGGACTTTCCTTCCCAAGCTGGCTTCAAACTGTGATCCCCAGATCTCAGTTTCCCCAGTAGCTAGGATTACAGGCATAGGTCATTGGTGCCCAGCTTGTTCCAGTTTTTGAGATGCTCAAACTCCTGACTTGTCACTTGTCCAATTAGTGATTTGTTTCCCAAGCCATTTTGATAAGCACATGTGTCTGACTAGGCTCCAAAATGTATCAATGTTCCCTTTTCCATCCATTTTACCAAAGTTTTAAAATAACAAGCAGCAAACCAGTGCATTGTGCAGACTGCTGAGGTTCTAGTGGTGGTCAGGAGTGCAGACCTAGCCTCTAGCCTCCCAGAGTCCACAACCTTAAAGAAGAAAACCGCGGTAGTGGCACTGTAGCTCAAAGTGGTAGAGCACTAGCCTTATGCTGAAGAGCTCAGGGACAGCACCCAGGCCCAGAGTTCAAGCCCCATGACAAAAAAGAAGAAAGAAAGAGAGAGGGGGTGAGGGAGGAAACAAGTAAGCAGACACAAGAAATGAGATCTGTGATCATTTCAGGGAAATTCCTGTAGGAAGAGGTGTCTAAGCCAACCTCAGCTGGGTTCCCTAGGAAGATCCTGCCTGGCACAAGGTAGGGGCTGAAAAGAGCCAGGCAGGTTAGAGAGGCTGAATTGCTAGCTCTATCCGAGGTTAGAATAACCAGCCATGGCCAAAGCCCAGTGTGGAATGGATGTGGAATTGCTCCTAGAGTTCTGCCCCGTGCTGGTGATAGATGTTATTGCTGTTTCTCTTAGTGCCAGGCCAGCCTCTTTGGTTGATACAGTTTTGAGTTTGCACAGCTATTTGATTCATAGGCCTGCCTTAGGTCAGCCCTTTGGAATTGTGACTTGGGAGTGGTTTGGAATGAAGGGGAGGACTGGCTGCTTCCTTCCTCCTTGGCCATGTGCATAGGCAGGTGGGGACAGAAATGAGTGGCTCTGATATAGAACATGGAGACCTAGCTTGTCATTTGGGGGTTTCCATATCTTCAGTATGATCTGGTCACTCTTGTTTTGCAGATGAGTGAACTGAAACCCAAAAAATAAATTCACTTCCTGAAAGACAAACAGCCGGGTAACTGGCCGATTTGGATCTGCTCATCTCAGAAGTATGTGTTCTGACCCATTCCTGTGAGAGACTGCTTTGAAGGTGTTAGCTTGTATAGTAAGGCTGCTGTGGTCCAGGCTGTTAGAGTCACAAGAAGAAAGCAGAAATCCTCACTTGGGGGCAGGGGAAGCCTTGATGAAGAGATGGCCCACTGGGCAGAAAGGACAATTTAAGCTGAGATCAGCAGTGTAGAAAACTAGGCCAGTAATTGAGGAATAGCTGTTGGGTGGGTAGGTGCCTTGGGGACTGGATGGGGCAGAGAAGGGATAGGAATGGAGATGAGCCTGGGAATGGAGGCTGAGGCCCAGATTTTAGACTCTGTCTCAGGGAGGGATGTGGATTGAAGACTGAAGGAAAGACCAGAGTGCCCTACCTCGTGTACTGGATGAAGGTGACCTTCATGCCCTCAAGGTGTTCCCAGGTGGACAGCAAATTAACTTCTTACACATAAGAAGTTGTGAGCCTCTGCAGAGAGATTTTTGGGCAGAAATGCCTTGGGTTTGTCCGTGAGCTGGTACTGGCACTGAACTTCAAAACTGCAACTGACTAGAATCGTTTTGATTCTGACTTAGTGTCCCCATGTGCTAACAAACCCTCTTGGCAACCTGCCATAGCAGAATTTGCAGCTTGGGATCTTCAGAGAGATGGCCAGTGACTAGTGGGCTGAGTAATGATAAGATCCAACTACCTTTTTTTTTTTTTTTTTGAGAGAGAGACTTACTATGTAGCCCAGGCTAGCCTCCAACTATATATCCTCCTGCCTCAGCTTGCTGGAATGATAGGTATGCGCTACTGAACTTTACTTCCAAACTACTTTTTGAGGGCAATTTCAGTTAGTGGTGTGGAACTTCCTTGTCATTATAGGTCTCATTTCCCATCTACATTCCCCTTTACCTTACCACACAGGTTCTTTCCCTGGGGTCTATAGATGTAATGAAGTGATTTTAAAAAGAGAATATGCTATGTTTTTGTTAAATTTTAATTAATGAGATAAATATTATATGTTATTCAGCCTAGTAGAGGTAATAAGGTACAGTTGGCAAACACCTGTGACTTGGGGGCTGGTGGGAACCCCAGCAGGTAATTTTCATACCACAGGACAATTGTGGAGCTATCTGAACAAACTGTTTATGCCTGCTATAACTTCAAAACTACAGTGATTAGACTTGATGCTAATGTCATTTAATACTTCAGTAGAGATTTAACACAATAAGCCTATTGCCCTATCATATTTAAGGAAATTTTTGATGAGTATATTTAATATACAGTAGACAGTTGGAATTTGCAGGTACGTGGTTCCAAGGAGACCACTGGTGGAGGAAAAACTGAGTGCTCTGGACGTGCAGAGTTCAGAGCTATACTACAGATGCTTAATTCATTTTTCCCATAATGCCACCTGAAAACTTGTAGCTTTTCAACAAACCTAAAATTTTCACTTCATCTCTTCAAAGCACACTCATTTTTGCCTTGCTTTTAGAGTAGCATTTGCTCTTTTTGGAAAGCACATTTTCATAAAATTAAAGCCAGAGAAACATGCAGGGAATCAGACGTTTGAAACACACTTGACATGAACACAGAACAGACAGAGTGAACTTCGGTTTTTTTTGTTTTTTGCTTTTGTGGTGCTGAGGAATCGAACCCAGGGCCTCATGCATTGCAAGGCAAGCGCTCTACCACTGAGCCACTTTCCCAGCCCCAGACAGAGTGAATTTCGTAATGTACACGTGAGAAATAAAAAATTTGGTTTGGAAATTTCTTTTGATTTAAAGTTTTTTTTTAAGTTATCTTTGGATTTCATTTTGTCAAAACCATGTGGAATAAGTCTTTATAAGGCAGGCATGTTGAAACTAATTTTCTTTATAATCATAATTTTTTTTTTTGCTGGTCGTAGGGCCTGAACTCTGGGTCTAGGTGCTGTCCCTCAGCTCTTCAGCTCAAGGCTAGCACTCTACCACTTGAGCCTCAGCCCCACTTCTGGCTTTTTCTGCTTATATGGTGCTGAGGAATTGAACCCAGGGCCTCATGCATGCAAGATAAGCACCCTACCACTGAGCTACCTTCCCAGCCCCTATTTTTTAAATTTAAAAGTATTGTTCTTTGAAAGAGAGTGGGCCTCCTCAAATCACCAAAGGGGCCATTGACTAATGGTTATAAGCTTCTGTCCTAATTGGAAGTTGGGTGCCTTTCTAAATATTTGCAATTTAAAATCATTTGCTATAGTTAGGCACCAGTGGTTATTCATATAATCCTAGCTACTCAGGAGACTGAGATCTGAGGATTGAGTTTTGAAGCCAGCCTGGGCAGGAAAGTCCGTGAGACTTTTATCTCCAATTAACTATCAAAAAGCCTAACATGGAGCTGTGGCTCAAGTGGTAAAGCATGAGCCTTGAGAAAAACAATAGCAGCAACAACAACAACAACAAAAAAAAAAAACAGTTCAAGGAGAGTGCCTAAGCCCTAAGTTTAAGCCTTAGTTCTGGCAGGTGCACACACGCATGCATGTATGCACACACACACACACACAATTGCTATTACTACTAATTATTTAAGTCTATGACATTGTTAATATATAGTTCCCTGCAAAGAACTGTATTTGAGATCTTTATAGATAGAAGGGAAAGGAATGAGTTAACCAGGTACAAAGAGGGGCAGCTGGGCCTGAGGGTCTCCAAGTGCTGGGTTCCCAGACTCTGAGGTTGTTGCTTGCCTTATAGTTACACTGTACGTTACCATGCTGGATGCCACTGAAGTCTTGTTGCCGTCTCAGGTGTGCTCAGGGCTTGCCTCTGGGGCCCTGCATCTTAGCTGAGCAGTCTGCTGGGCTCCCGGCTGTCTTGGGTGTGGCTTACATTGCTGAAGGAGTCTGCTCAGCAGCCTCTGCTTAGAATGATCTCCTCTCTTTTTAACCTGTTCCTAGCTGTATCCTCCTTGGATGTCTTGTCCCCACCTACATGTTTTTCAATCCTGGTCAAAACCTAAAGCTTCGTCTGAGCTTTACCTAGGTCAAGCTGTCCTTGTTCCAACATAATCTTGAGTCTTCTGAAAGTCTGGACAGGCTTCCCTTGGAAAGACTCACATGCCTGGAATTTGCTTATATGTCAGGATGTGCACCTCTCAAAGCCCACTTGAAAATGGGAGTCCAGGGCTCCTACTAGTACTGTCCCTACCCAGCAGTCATGTCCACTATGTCAGGTGCTCATTGTGTGCTGCTGCTGAGCTAAGCGCTTGTCTCTTTTTAACTTCTCCAAGAAGGAGTGAGAATTTCTATTATTATCCTCATTTTGTAAGTGGGGGAGTGGGGGAACTGATGCTTTCTTGGTAGTTGGGAGAGGGTTAAGTAACTTGTCCAAGGCCATAGAACCAGAATAACTTGGTGGATTTTTGTTGTGGTTGTTGTTGATCGCGAGGCTTGAACTCTGGGCTTGGGCACTATCCCTGTGCTCTTCAGCTCAAGGTGAGCACTCTCCCGTTTGAACCACAGTGCCACTTCCAGTTTTCTAGTAGTTTATTGGAGATAAGTCTCATGGACTTTCCTACCCGGGCTGGCTTTGAACCATGATCCTCAGATCTCAGCCTCCTGAGTAACTAGGATTATAGGAGTGAGCCACCGGTGCCCGGGCTAGCTTGGTGGATTTTAAGTTAGGCTATCTGATCTAGGAGGTTTAGGGAATCCTCCTGGCATCCCAAGCTCCCATGGACCACATCCGGTCCATCCTTTTCCTAGCCTGCCCTTTCCATTTGTGACCTTACTGCTGTGGGAATGGTGGCAAGGAGGTCCTGGAATGTGTTCAGGCTGCCACATGCTTGAGTCACCAGTCACTTTGGCCTCCTCTCTCTTGGATTTCTTACAGGCAAAGCTGGTGCGGTACATCTGTAAGCAGCGGCAGTGCAAACTGAGTGTGGCCCCCAGTGACAGGACTGCGGAGCTCAACAGCTACCCACGATTCAGCGACTGGCTATACACCTTCAATGTGAGGCCCGAGGTGGTGCAGGTATGCAATAGACTCAAGGTGAAGACCAGAGAGGGAGGGGCCGGGTGAGGACCCTCCTCCCACCCCCATACACACACATACCTCAGAGCTAGCTTCACATGGCTAAGCCTCTGGTGGAATGCTCTGTTGGGAAGGGAACATGGTGATAGGGTGGGAGGACAGGGTGAATGTGGTTAGTGCTATTGTTTTATAAACTGCACAGTCTAAGGACATGGGTCATTTATTTGCTCTCCTCGTCATGACAACAGTTACCTTTCCTGGAAGCTTTGGCTATGTGGCAGTCTCTGTGCTAAACACTAAAAACATAATTCTCATTTCACTGAGTCCTCTAAGGAAGTGACTGTCATTATGCTTGAGGAAATTCAAGCTACAGAATGATTAAGTAATTTGTTTAAAATTGCAGCTAGGATTTGGAAATGAGTTTAAGTAGAATTTCTGGCTGCTTTGGCATGTTGTCTTCTTCCGGCCATCCTACTCAACCACACCAACCCAACAATTAACAAGCCCAGTAACCAAGGAGACCAGGTTGGGGAGACCGGACAGTACAAGTGGATATAAATAAATCAGCACATGGCAGATGTGGTTCATGTAGTCAGGACCTATAAAATCCCCTACATATTCTGAAACCTAGAAGATTGGTTCTTGTTACTATGTAAGAAGTAACAGACATTTGATGTAAACACTTAGGAAAATAGAAAGAAAAAAAAATCATGTAAGTCTTCCTGCCACTCAGAGAAAATCTTTTTTTTTTTGGTCAATTGTGGGGTTGAACTCTGGACCTGGGCCTTGTCCCTTAAAGCTTCAGCTCAAGGCTAGCACACTACCACTTGAACCATAGCACCAGTTCCAGTTTTCTGGTGGTTTATTGGAGATAAGAGTTTCATGGACTGGGCTGGGAAGGTGGCTCAGTGGTAGAGCGCTTGCCTTGCATGCATGAGGCCCTGGGTTCGATTCCTCAGCACCACATAAGCAAAAAAGAAAAAAA